CGGCCCGACGCGGTGCCGTTGTCGTTCGTCTGCGCTTAAATGTCTCCCTCAGGGAACTGAGGAGACGCGGGTCGGTAAGGTCAGCGGTGTGTCGGCTCCTCGGAGACCCCTCAGGCAGGGGCGAACGCTTGGTTGATTTACTCCTCTTCCAACTCCCTGAAGCGGTTGTTTTTGTTTGTTTCAGTAGGAACTGAGCGCCTGCAGCTGTAGGTCTCTGCAAAGGCAGGGCTCCCTTCTCCGAGAAGCCTCTGGTGTTCTGCGGCACCTGCGATCCTTCTGGGTTAGAGCCGCGCGCCCCGAAATAAGTCGGAAGAAAGATGGACGGGTCATTCTTTTGCAATATATTCAACTCGATGCGATGCTCTGTATAGCATCGTACCTATTCTCTGTGTGCCTTTTATCTGTATTGCATCTGCAATGTACATACGTGTACAACTGTATCCGTATAAACGATGAAATCTTTACAACATGCCCCAATCTATTCATGTACACCTGGAGAAGAGAGAGCTCTTTTTATAAAGAGAGAAGCTGTCTGTGCTGCCATACCAATTACTTCTGCTTAAGCATTTTACATTACTGTTCTCTATTCCACTGGGGAAAAAAAAAAATCCCAGACAAATGCCTTTCCCCAGGTGAAGGAGTGGGACTGAAGACCTCCTGGAGGGATGACGTTCAGCCTGCAAACTTGTTTTCTCCTCCACAGAGTGTTGCAATTAAGATCACGAAATTGATTCCTGAATGACTGAACGGTTTGTCTAGGAAAACAGCAAGAGAGGCTGAACACAGAATGAACAGTCAGTGTGGTATGAAGACAGATAAAAGTAACTGTCTGTACAAGGATGGCTCAGAAAATAGATTCGGTTTTGTTTTCACTGTCTTAAAACTTGAATAAAATGGAGAATCAGCCTATGCCAAAGTCTCCATTTTGAAGGCAGTTTGAGGTGTGTTGATCCCCATGCAGTGCATCTCTCTCCCTTCTCGTTGATGCTGACCTCCCTTCTGCCTCTTCATACCTTTTACTGGTGGTGGAAGAGCCTCTTCCCACTGATTGCTCAGAGGCTTCCTTTGGCAGTCTTTCCCCTTCTCTCTCTCCATCTTTGTGCAAATCTCTGAAAAGCTATTTTATCTCTTGCTAACAAGCTGGCGCTGAGCCAGTTCCTCAAAATCATTTTGCTGCTCTAACCTTCTTTCACATAATAGCGTGTAATCTTCGTGCTGCTTGTAGCAATTCAGTATTTCTACGTGAACCGCACACCTCTTATTACTGCCTTTTTACATGGCATACACAGCAACCTCGCCCTCTGCTGAGGCAGCTACTTGCGTCTAGTGTTCTACTGTTTTAGCAATGCTTTCTAGCTTATGGCATCGCCACAGTTCTGCCTGGCTTGCTGTAGAGAGCTAATAATGAGCATGCATCCAAACATTAATTGCTATGCCTTGCTTTCACTGTTGATTTCTTTTCCTTACTAGAATCCATTGCGGGCATAAGAAAATCTCAGCAGTCTGTGATGTTTGCACTGCAAACTTTCAACTATACCCTAGGATTATTCATATCTGCAAATGAGCGAGAGGAGGAGGGAAAATAATTCAGAAGAACAGGCTCTTTTAAAAAACATTTTCTTATGTTACAAATGTTAAGGGAGAAGTTGTTCCTACTGCTTGAATTGGTTCACGCGCGGCAGGGTATGTCCTCAGGCTCGCTGCTACGCTGAGGGTCTTTCTGTGGGTGCTTGCAGAGAGGTGCCGCGCTCCGTCCCTGCCTGCACAGGCATCAGCCTTCTGCACCCAAGTATCCTCTGAGACCTGCGAGGGTGCCCTCAGATCCCACCCGTTTTATCCCTAGCATGGCACCTCTCCTGCAGAGGGATCTCCGTGTACCAGGCCCCCAGGAAGTCTCACTGCTCAGCACCCGAGGGGCAATCCATGGGTTGTTGAGGTCCCATCACCTCTCTGGGGGCTTGCGTTGGGTCGGGGTCCCAAAGGAGGGGTGTTACTAAGACCATTCCCCACTGCAGGTCCTGGCATTCCTCGTGGCCGCAGAGCGGGAGGGCACATCCCCAGGAGGTCATAGAAGAGGGGAGAGGATGTCTACAAGTGCGCCTCGTGCCATGCCAAGCAGGAACTTGTTGCTCTCGTTTAACTGCCTGACGCAAGGAGCTCTTTCCCCAGGTAATTTTCCAGTGATGCATCCAACCGCCTGTCCCACCTGCGCTCGCTTCATCCTTTGCGGGCAACCTGTGCTGTGTGGTTGTGCTCCTTTTCGCAGTCTGTCTGTCAGTGGGTGTTAGGTTCGTCCTATACTTTCTGTAATTAAGAAGGAAACAACACTTCTGGCTAATCCTCCGTACCATTTCCAGACCACAGCATGGGGTGCATCGTGTTTGCCAACCTTTCCCTTTATCTGTTGATGCCTTTTGGTTTCCCACCTTCCAGGCTAAGTGCCAGGTACCAAGAGACTAGATCCCAGTGAGCTCCTCTTAGTTTACTGAGCGCTGGTCATATTCTGATCAGATTGTGCACCAGAAGTTAAGGTGTCTGAATGAATTTTATTAATATAGATACTAAAAACCCTGGAGCATTATGGGTGTTATGCTCATCAGTCATCTGAAATTTCCAGCCTTAAAAAGCATGAGAAGTTTTGCCTCTTTTTCTGTGTCACCAAAAACCTACAAAGCAAGTATTTTTTGTGGGGCTATTTACAGAATACTGTGGGCTGCTTTGTAGGAGATTTCAAGCCAACTGTCTTGATATTTTTAATTTACTGGCTGGGACAAAAACAACGTACAGAAACCCATGATTAAATGAATTTACTACTACTTTTTTTAAACACAAATATTGCAGTTTGCTAGTTCTACGTCATAAAGCTGGCCTCTATTAATAACTGTGTGACTGAGGAGAGTTACCTTTCCCGTGACCAACTTTCCCAAACTATCGACATTACAGTGTAGTACAGCGCACAGTGAGCCTGGGGCCTTTTCCCACCCCCTCAGGGGAGGAAAGTAAAGGTTATATGACTGTAATTATTCATACCACACAAACCCAGGAAATCAAGCAAATAATCTAGTCAGAGCAAAGAAGTTTCTACTGACACTTCAAAACTGAAGGAGATGGTATCCCAGGTCCTGCTCCTTCCCGCATGATATTCTCAGAGCCACAGGGAAAGGGAGGTGCCAGGTTGGAAGCAACAGAGGAAGACAAAGGGAATATGGGGGATAGTCTCAGTCGGACAGGATGCTGCTGCTTTGCAGAAAGGTGAAGCTTAGGTGCTATTGACTATGGATGGGATTTGTACCTCAAGCAAAACTTATTTTCCTCCGAAATGAAAACAGGGCTCCCAGAATAAATAGGATGACAAAGCCCATGATTTTCCACTTTCCTTGTTGGTATTTTCATGTGAAACAAAGAGCATGCATTGTGAAGGAAAATAGCTCTTCCTTTGTTCCATGGAGAAATGCAGTAACCTTCCATAGATAAACAATTGAGCAAAAGTCTGTGAAGGGATGGGGGGATGGGGTGGAGGGGAGATTATTTGCAGATAAAAGGCATTTTCTCATAAATGAGCAAGGTTCAGCTGTAATTCAAGGACTTCAGTAACCACTTTGGACGGTGTTTCTCAACAGAAACCATTCAAATGCAGCTTTCCATATATCTCAGAGTATGATTTATTAAAATTGCTTGTTCCACACAGATGATGCAAGGACCCATCCCAAACATCCTCTGGTTTTCAGATGGTGCCTGCGAACTTGGTGGGATTCTAGCAGGATAATGCAAACCTGGCATGAGGTACAGTGTGGTAATACTACCTTTTAACATTAAAAGGCAGGGAAATTTGGAGTCTGTTTCCAGCCATCCCACTTAGATTCACCAGGACCACTCAGTGTGCATAGGGGAAATGGACCTACAGCTCCTATTGACTTTCAGCTTAGAAGGATAGCACTTCTGTCGAAAAGCCTTGTAAGTCCCATATATTGTCAGTATAACCAATGAAAGTTTAATAAGGTGCTTGCTGGTAGTGCTGCTAAAAGAGTAGCTATGAAACCATTTGGTTTCTAATAATCCCCAGGAGGACACATTGCGAGAAATGAATAGTTTCCAATAAGCTGATTCCTCTGGCCTGTGTTGAAAAACGTGAAGGGGTTCTGTTTATCTGCACCACCTGGATTTGAAGATCAAGGATCTTCTGAAAGATGCAGCCATCTTCCAAAGGCCTTGGTCTTGCTGCTGTATTCATGTGGCAGGTAGGATGATGGCTCGCTCACTGTAGCTGCGTGTGAAGTAAACAGGGCTGTGATCACATTTATTTCTCTCCACTTTCATTGCCTGTACCTAGGGTCACAACGTGAAGAAGTAAAACAACTCCTGCTGATCTCCCCACCATCAGAACTGTGCTACTGCAATGCCACCGTCCACGCAGCGAGGGGCATTTTCCTTCTTCTCTCCAGGACAGAGAGGTTCCAGGGACACATTCGTGCCTCTCCAGTCCTTTGTATTCTCTGCCCCAGCTCTTCACCTGCAGAAAATTCACAGCTCATCCTAAATTCACTGTGGATTTAGCAGGTACAAATATTCCACAGAGTTTAAAAATCCTTGCAGGAGCATCCAGCACTGTAATGTACATTTAATTCCTGAGCCATTAGGGATAATTTGCATAACAACCGATGCCTTAGCAGCTAAAGGAGCCACCAAATTAAATTCTCTTCTCTTGAAGCAGTTTTTATGCATCTGAAGCTTTTGAAATTAGCAGGGTTTCTCTTGAATTGGCATTAGAAATAGTGTTCTTTTTGAAATAACAAGGTGTTTAAAAATAACTGCGAGCTTTTACACAGTGTTCTCCTGTCACAGAGATCTGCCCCATGCTGGTGGCAGTGCTGATGGACAAAGGCAGAGAAGACTCGGGCTGCAGAACCTCTCAGCAGCACAGCTCAGAGAGCCAGGTGACAGCAGTGTTGTCCCTTGATGTGTTGCAATGTCTCAGAATTTCCTTTATGCTGTGAATCTTTGCATCTGAGCTGCAGCTCACAGAAGCCAGTAGCTGTCTGAGAATCAGCGTTTGTGAGCCTTGTGTTGTTACATTCTGCACTTTATTGGCAGGTAAAAGAGCTCTTAATGAATCTAAATCAATCATTTCTCCCAAAGTACCTGGCATAATGGCATTTAAGGGTGTGTTAAGCAAGAATTTTATGTTGCCTTAAATCAGGACTCCCAAGCTTGCCTGTACAGAAAAAAAAAAAAAAAAGGTAACTTTTAAACATTTTAATCCATTTATTTTTGCTTCTTTCTGATCTGTAAAGAAGGCCTGGAAGGTTAACTCTGCTTCTATATCAACTATGCTACTTGCATCTGTACACTAGAAATACCAGATTTTAGCTTCCCTGGTTTTGCTGAAGGACCCAGGGAGAACTGGAGAACCTCTGGGAATCGGCCAAAGAAATAAGATGGCAAAGTGAGTGTCTGGTCTGCATGAACATCTCACTCGCAAGGGACAAATGAACAAAAGGTTCAGCAAGCTTATACCACCTCTGCGGGTAGACAGGGACTCGGCTTCAGATGCCAAAGACCAGCAGGCCAGCTTTGGTATCCCTGGCAGCTCTAGCACAAGGCAGCATTAACGAAGAGCTGTGGCTGTGACAGGAAAAAGGCTGGGTTTTTTTTTGTCATTTTTCGTGACCCAAGAAAATAAATTAACAGATGGTGTTCAGCAATGGCCTTTTTAGAGAAATACAACATTTTTGCAACCCATCTTTAGCCAGAACTAATATATGGATTAGCAGAATTAATTGGGTTATAGCAGTCCACTCGGGAAGGACAAAAAACCAGCTCTTCTGACCTGCACTAGATTGTCGTATTTCAAAAAGCAGATCACTTGGATGACACCTTCTCAGAAAATGCCTTGAAATAGCTTAAAGGGAGAACACAACCTTCTTCCTAATCTCTGATCCCTCTAAGCACTTGCATTTTATAACTCTTGCCCCCTCCCTTCAATTATGTACATCTAATTTTCATATCGTGTTCTATTTCTCCAACATAAGCACCCTTCTGGGATGAGTAGTGCTTCCCAGAGCTCCTGCAACGCAATGCGGGTGGATCCCAAGGAG